GCATATGTACATATATACCTACACCATCATTTATGGCATGGATCTTACATACAAGTAGTTATTAGATTTCTCCATATACACAGACCATATCATATTTAGCTCATGTGCCGCTCAACCGCCACCGGCTTTAGCATTGCATGTGCGTTTTCTGTGTGCCGGGATGCAAAAGTGCTTGAGATTCTGGGCGGCTGGCTCTAGGCTCTCATATAAAGCTGAGCAGTCAGCCAACCATCCAGGCAGTGCAGCAAACCAGCCGAGCTTCCTACAGTATACATTAGCTAAAACAATTTCTCACATATTAAATGAAATACTATAGTATAGTATTATTGTATTATGTTTTAGTTTAAATTATACAAGTATAATAGTATTAAATTCGTTCATAATTTTTTTTGTATCATTTTCTTTATTAAGAAAAAAAATTTTCTCTTTATTTCAAAAGGGAATTATTTCAAATAGCTCCCTTATCTTTTATTCAACTTAATGAAAAAAATTATTTTTATTTTGATGTGATTGTGATTGTATCGCGAACTTACGTCTTTTCAACAAATTGTAATGGGTTCTTGGTTAATTTTTAAACGCATTTTTTTGTGGCCTAGACGAACACTACTGTACTCGCTGTATAATGACAAAGCAACTGCCTCACACTCCCCCTCCCGCCGCGCACATAACCACACACATATGTATGTGGCAGCTAAAAAATACATACATACAAGTATACGAGTATGGAGGAGGCCAGCTGAAATGCATCATCACGAAATGAAATCAAGTGAATTTATTTAGAGAGCGCCAAGCAAAATGGAAAATGAAAAAATAAAGAAGTGGCAAGTTTTTCATGTACGTGTATGTGAGCGCGTGGGCGTTTATGCTACTAAAGCGAAATGAAGGCTCTCCAACGGATAGGGGTTGACGAATGGGGTTGGGGGCCCAGGCAAGATGATGAATGATGGTCGGCCGTATGTTACATACGAGTAGAGCTCAGCTTCTATTTCGTTGCAAGTTAAATACGCCAAGTAAAAAGTCAAAATGTTTGCGCTTTGTGTTTGTTGCAAGCTTTTCATGAGCTAGATGCCTCGTTTAACTGTATATACTCATACATACATACATACATACATATGTAGCATGTCGCTCAATGGAATAAGAGTAACTGTGTATGTGTATGACAAATTCAAGAGGGCTTGGCGAGTAAGTAAGGCTTTTATAAGATTAGAGGCGAGTCCAAAACTGATTTAAAGCAATCTCGACACCCATTTGGTGATGAGTTTCTATTAAAAAAAAAATAAAGGATTGACTGGGACATAGCTCGTCGTATTTATTAACGTGAGTGTGTGAAAAATCGTAACTTTAATATTTATTCACACGAAAACAAACTGATTTAAAGAGTAATTGTCCCTTCTTTTTTTTTAATTGCTAACATAATGATAGGATTAAACATGGACCCTTTGCGGGCTGGCAGGTTTGTTATTTCTTTATTTGTGGCTACAATTTCGGGTATTTTTATTAAGTTCTGCATCGATAAAGTTCCAATTTGAACGCATAGTAAAATTCGTGCCCATAATTGTTTTAATCTACTATCGCGTCAGTTTGTTTATATAAAAAAGTGTCCTCTCGCACTCACGCAATCTATCCGATTCGAAAATACAATCAATAGCCCAACTCGAACGAGCCATGAGTGACTGCATAAGTTATTCGTAAGAATAGATTTCATTTTGTGTATTTGTTTCAGAAGTGTTATTAATTTATGAAATTAAGACAAAATGACTTAGCCATCAATATCTGTATCTTTTAATAGGCTTCAAAAATACTGGTAAGAATATTTATAATAGAATGTCCTACTCCCGCCCCTCTCCGCTTCAGTCCTTTAACTAAAATAAACTTTATAGCAGTGCCCCGATTTTGATGAAACTTTAAAACTTTTAAACAACAAGTTTGAATGGAAAATCTGAAACAACAACAAAAATTTTTAATAAGTTTACAACGGCTCTGGCTTTAGCAATTATAATATAAAATAAACTATATATGGCTTTTAACCATAATTGAAATTTTAATTCTTTGCCAAAAAACGTTCAAAGAATAATTTATTAAAATTCTTTTGCTTTGATTTGGCACACCATACTATATAGCACATACTCGTATATAGTAAAAGTTTGATTGCCTTTGGGTTACTATAGTTTAACACATGCCATGCACATGAATTGTTTTTGTGTATGCGTGTATGTCTTTGTGTTGATTTTTCAAAGAATTTCGCGCTCGTTTATTTTAAACGACAAACCCACAAAGACCAACAAAGTATGTAAACAAATTCACGCCACTAATAAATTGGGGTGCAATTTTTCGCTTGTCTGTTTATAAACGAACTACATTTTTCGGTTTTGTATAATTAAACAATAGTGTTTTGGAATATTTATGATCTACGTTTAATAAATAGCTGACAGCGTACTCCCAACATACTTGTGTGTTTGTATGGCATATATTTTGCTGAAAGTTTTAGACACAAATGGAATGCAACAAATTAATTAAAAGCGCACAGCAAACGGGCGTAAACGGCAGACAAAGTAAATTAAATTAAAAGTGTGAAATGCAAAATGCATGTCGTGAGTTTTTGTTTTGTTTTGTTCTTGCTGAATTAATTATGCAGCTTACATCTCCACTTGTAAATTAAGATTGATTTATGAAAGCTCTCAAAGAGCTCACAGAGCACCAGAATAAAGTTTAGAAGAAACCAGGCAAATCAACGGTTATGAGCGGGTTGTGGGGTCTGCTCTTTCTACCCGTAAGTCAACAATTCATTTTGTACATCTTTGCAATGGAAATGAAATAGCTGCTAACTCAAATTAAACTTTCCTCAAAGAAAAATAGATAAAAATATAAAGTATGATCCCACAAGCAACAATATTTTAAATAAAACGCCAGCTTGACTTGTTAATTACAAGTATTATATTTTGTATCTTTAATGATTAATCCTATGTCTGTGTTTCTATATAATAGAGTTATTCAAATCTGACAGTCAAATAATGTTAAGCATATTTGTTATATTCTTGTTCAGAGGCCACTTAGAACTTTTCTTTCATGGGTAAATGCAATTCTCAGAAAAAGTAATAGTCTTACGAAACCACCTTTGGTATCTTAGCAAATATTATAAAACAAAAGATGTGCAATCGATTCCACGAAGCATAAAACTAATAATCGACACCGCTTGCTGCCCGGTTTATTGAATTAAACAACTTATTGCTTATTACGTTTAAAAGCTTGATATTGTATATACGAATGAGAGCAAATAGAAGAGCTGCCCTAGTGACTGGCCCTAATGTTATGTTTGTTGGCATTAATCCGGGTCTCGCTGGTATTGGGGGGTAATTAATGTCCCGCTATCCGGTACTAAAATATTCTAAGCTACATGTTGGCAGGTACCATTTGAAAAAGTAGCCACTGTAATTAATATAATGAAGTTAAACGGCAATATTATGCAGGGACCGCAGGTAGATTCGGATTACCCCGTGGCAGGCTTGGAGTACGGCTCTGAGGAAGAGAGTGTGACACCTTTTCTTGGAGAGCTCATCTGGCGAAAACAACGACGATCGTCTAAATAATTTAACCAGCAAATGTTTTATTCAGAATTTCTGTCCGCTGATATTCCTCGATAACAAAGATCATAATATATTGCCAAAAGATCTAACAGGGCATTACAAAGCAGGCATTGGATGTAGAGTTGGATTTGGTGAAGCCCAAAATTGTGGTGGCCATCGGCATGTATCAAGAAGAAGTACTCAGCAAGTCAACGTACTGCAATCGGGAGAGGATTGAAAAAGTTTTTTGACGCATCCAGCTCGGCGTTTCGGTTCCGAAGATAATTGGAGCATTAAAGCTCGGCAAGATCTGGAGAGTTTCAATCTCGGTCTGTTTTTGTATAAACAGACGAACAATTTGGTGTTATTTTTTCAATTTCAAGATCCTTTTAATGCCTAATTTAAGATTTATAAAAAAGTTCATAGTTTTTTTACCTAACTGCTGTAACAATTAAAGAACGTCGAAGACCAATTGCAAAAAATATTATAAGCAACATTTGTTTTTTGGCCTTCCTGGAGAAGTACGAGTAATTTGCGCACAAATTTGTTACTTTTTTAAATACTACGACTATATCTATCTATGCATCTTGAAGTTGCGTTTCAATCAAAACCAATAGCAATGCTATGGGGATTGCAAACCACAACAAATCTGTTTTGGATTTACATGTATAGCTCGAATTTGTGTGCAAATTATTTGTCTGCCATATTATAAGTACTAGGAATATGATGTGAACTAAACGTGTTGGGCGCTCAAATCAGCAAAAAAAAGGATTAAAAACAATGTTTATGGATAAATGTAGTACGGTGGACCTAAGATCCTACATGTTTTACATGAGATTTTGAGCAAACTTTTTTTGAAATTGTTGCGGGAAGGTGACATCATCTGTCGCAGCCTATGGCCTATATAAATAAAAATACATATACTATATGTACTAGTATATATGCATATGCAATGCGGTGCAGCCGCGCAAATATTTATCATAAGCGAAGTCACATGCATCCGTAAACACACATTGAGATTTATATATGTATGTAAGTATGAATGTAGATATGTCGTTATGCAGAAACTTCGGGCGAAATCTGCTGACATATTCAAATAAGTATGAGTATAACGACGTCAAAAATATTTCGCATGCATTTAAACATATGCTCGTAAGTATTTCCGTGCGACAGACGAGAATGGTGATTTGACAAATCTTGTGCGCATTGCTTAGTACGAACTATGCACTGAATATCCTTGCGATAGATATGTACATATGTAGATCCTTGTGCATATTTTGTGGCATCGAAATTAACGCTGCCAGCTTTTCGTTGGAGAACATTAAAAACTAATTTATGGATTTGTGTTGCCTCAAATGCATGCCAAATGTGCAGCATTGACTGACGGCATAAATTTATGCAGGAGGAGAAGGAGGAGAGATTGCAAGTCATACTCACAGCACTTGGGTATCCAGCGGCACTTGGGGCAGGGCAGGGAGATGGGTGCGTATGCAGCGCACCGTGCGCTCGAAGCAATTGCAGCCGGCGGGACAGAAGGCGGCCGCATCAGCCTGGCCCTGGCCAGAACCATGGCTCAGACTTAGGCCGAGCCACAGCAGCAGCGCCAGGGTGGGGAGCCTGACAAGGCGCTGCATGTTGATGATGATGATGAATTGGTGAATCGGTCGGTCGGTCGGTCGGTCGGACGGTTGCTCACTTCACTGCTACTAGAGACTTGAGAAGCTCCAGAAGAAAAAAAGCCGAACGAGCAGGCGAACGCGTCGCGTCTACGGATGCAATTAAAAATTCGTCAAGAGTTGATTTTGTGCGAAGCGGCGCTTGATAAACGCAAAGCAGCGGAAATGTTACGCGCTGGTCACTTACAAGTATAGTTGTTATTATATTTCTATTTTATTTGCCTTCTTTTGTTCAAATGTTTCAGATTGTACGCTTCATTATCACTATTTTTTCAGACCACCAAACCACTGCCACACAGCGACAAGCTATTGCTATTTTTGGCTTTTCAGAAATTTGCCAATGCTTGTTTGTTTACTTGAGAACAATTTTTGAAAATGTTTTTGAAATTGAAATTACGTTAGTATTTATGTTATCGTCTGACTGTGACCGCTCTTTCCAGGTCTGTCCGCGCGCTCCAAATGCCGACAAGCATCTGAAAACGAACGCCACAAGCCCGACCGACAGTTGCACATTGTGCACGAAAAAGTTGCTGCTGCTGCACACACACACACACACACACACACACACACACACACACACACACACACACACACACACACACACACACACACACACACACCCACAGACCAAGACACATGCACATGGAAGCATCGTGGCAATGTGCATGTGCATGGGCAGCAAGGACGGCTGGTGGGTGGGTGGCTGGTGGTTGAGTGGTTGACTGGCAAGCCAGCTGACAGAGCCGTGCCTCGTTCAACACTCGGCAGCAGCAAAAGTAGAAGCTGAAGCTGAAGCAGATGCTGCCACCGGATGCAGTTCGTGATAGCATTTCCTTAGGCGTATGCCCAGCACTAATCGCATCGTGTGAGTTTTGGGCAGCACTCTACAAGAGTCTTAGATAGTCGATATCAGCAGTCACTTTTATAATTACGAGTAGTAGCAATAACAAAGCCACAACTTGGGGTTCGGCCAAGGCCTAATAACACTGCACCAAAAACTAGAAACATCAAGTTTGCTTATTTCGGAACTTTTACTAAAGCTTCGTTTTTAGTCTGGTGTCGAAGGGCCTTAAATGAAGTGCGTAATTGAGACCTATCGAGTAAAATAACAAAATAATGTAAAGTAATAATTATGTATTAAAAGCTTTGTTTCGAAAATTATCAGAACAGAGCCCTTTTCCTGAAGTAAGATAAAAATAATTAGATTTTCACATTCAATTGGTTGACTGTTAAATATTGCAATAGGGAGATGTTTACATTCCATTATTTTATTTTTCAATTTACAAAGTAAAGTAACGTCAGAACTAACCACTTAAGAGTATAATATTTTTTATTCGTTTGGAACTGAGCTTACTAGATTAAAATAATATTTTTTAGAGTGCGTAAAGACTCTTTTTGTAATATACATCTCATTTATTTGTGTCAACAGACTGATTTGGGAAATGACAAGCTATCTATGTAAGTGCAGCAGAGTTTCTGTACGGATTCGAAACATTTACAAAGTTGGGGGAATAAAAGTTTTTATCAGATGCAAATTGTTGCTTTCAATAAATGCATTATACCTAGCGTATTAAACAGTCAATTAAATCCTTTCCATTTCTAAACGCACAAAAAATAAATCCATGAAAACAACTGCCCCGCTTTGAAGCTCTGCTCAACTTTAACACTTAGCCTTGGATCCCTCGTAGCTCCATAAATTTCTCGCTTGTTGCAGGCAACGCTGTTTCTGTTGTCGGCACATTAAACACGACGCCTGCACCGCGGCTAGCAGTCCCACTGCCGGTGCCGCTGCCACTGCCTCTGCCTTGCCATTGCCGGTTGCCACACATTTTAACTGCCATGCCGCAATATATATGCCCACAAGCACCCAGTCCGTCCGTCTGCCCACCAACTATTTGGTATGCAATAAAACCTAGTCGTGGTTGGACGGCGGCTACTCGATTTGTTTTAAATGTGCAAACGTGCACCGACGCGTCGCCTCAATCCTCTCTCTCTCTACCAACTAAAGGGCTAATGCAAAAAAAATAAATCAGAAAAAAGTATACGCCGCGTTGTACAGCCTGAGCAAAATAAAATGTTTTTGACGCTCATTTTTAATGCATCATAGAAAGCGTAGTCTTGGGAAGGGGTGGAGGGCTGTGAAAAAGGAGCATCGAGCAGCATACTCGATTGGCGTACGTCAGCATCGGACGTCGGACATCGACAGCCACTGCTCGCGCTTCGGTGATAAGACGCGGAATCAAATTTAAAAGCTATCAATTCGATATTAGTTTAGGGACTTTGCCGGAGGGGCGTTTGAAAGTACTGGCATCGCTTGCACTGAGATTTACGCGCGTGGCACTTTGACTCTTTTTTTTTTGTTTTTTCCATTGCAGCATATGCAGTTGAGTGGCGCTCATAACCGTTGCAGCTAAGTTTTTTATTTTTTGTGCGTTGTCAAGGAACTGCTTTACTTATTTGGCTTTTGTCGGAATATGTATAACGTTCATGTTTGAAATCAATTTGCAGATGATTTATTGTGTTGCAGGAGCAGGCTGCTGCGCAATGAATGGGGGTGGGCGGGGTTGGAGTGGTTCTATGTTTCCCACTTTATGGCTGCGACAATGGCGCTTGGTATCCTGACGTTGATGAATGCCACTGTGTATTGTTGTGCTGTCAGTTTTGATCAAAATTTAGTCTGTGGCATCAAATTGCAGGTGACGTGGAAAATGTGCAAGTTGTGCGATAGTTTTATACGGCAGTTTTTGGCTTGTCGGGAAGCCCGTATCCCAATTCGCAAATTGATTGTATTTCTCTGCGGAATGAGGGATTCAAATTGCATTTCCAGCTTGCATTTAATTAAAATTTAGTGCTGAAAATATAGACGAGACCAACTACAACAATAGTTGTAGTATTTAAATATTACACCAATTTGGTTGGCGTTTGGCTTTATTTAATTAAAATGCTTCATCGGCTCCAATCCCTATATTGTTTTTTGTTGTTGTTGTATTTGTGCCCGCAAAACAGTTGTTTGCTTATGTACATTTAATTAAATTAGTTTTATAAAATATTTGGGTTTTGGCATCGTAATTTAACAAGAATTATATATATTTATTCCTGTTCGTTAATTAATTTCACAATGCTGAAAGGTTAAAATAATTTTGAGGCGCAATTTTCTCGCTTTTTTTAAATTCAAAATAGTGCTAAAAAGTAACGTTATGAAAATAATGTTACAAAAAAATATGGCGTACTCTTGGATGTCGCAAAGTGATTACCATTCGGCATACAGCACAATCAGCTGGTCAAATTAAGGTTATCGATAAGTATTGTATTTTCCAACACTTTCCAAAGCAACCAGCCGCCCGGTCTAATAGCAACAAAAACAGCGACAACTGACCAGTTTAACGTAGTCAAAACAGAAAAACAGCAGTTCTATTTCCATGTGATCTTTGCTATGTCCAAGCGAAATAATATAACATACGTAAAGCCACAGGAACCCAGCTTTTTGGCCAAGCTCAAGGCAGAAATCGGCTTTAAAGAGGGTCCAACTGTCGACACTAAGGTAAGGATGCAAATAACCATTTAAAAGCTGCCAAACATTTGCTAATGTTCTATTTTTTTCTTTATTTAGCGCCAGAGATTGGACCAAGACGCCCACGATTCTGATTCGGGAGAAGAGCGGCCGGAACGCGACGACGAACAGCCTCAGATTGTCGTCTTGCGAAGTGGAGATCTCACTGCTGAAGAAGTGGCTGCGGAGCAGCAGCGCTTAGCTAAAGGTATGGTAAAGCGAAAGTGTGTTTGTATATAGAAACATACATATGTATGTATGCTGTGCAAGGTGGTTGCATCTTTAGGGCACTGCCATATCCTCCTCCCGGCTCCGAGATGGTTTTCCATTCTCGGACGCAAACTCCCATTCCCATTCAAAAGCCAGACACACACACACACATCCATGCATCTATGCACGTACATATGTACGATTGTTTGTCTGTATGCGTGTCGGTGTGTGTGCGTAGGTAGGATGTAGTTATCGTCTGGCTGTGGCTGAATTTCAGTGTTGAGTCAGAATCGAGCGTCGGTCGTCGTTTGCGTCGTTTCCACGCTTCTTTCACGCCATTATTTTTGCCCTACGCTGCTTTTTTATTCGTGTGTGCGTGTTCGCGCGTGTGTGCGTTTTACATTTTTGCAATTGATAAATTTTAAATAAAACATAAACAAAACGTCACAAAATTTGTGCAAAAACCAGTGCAAGTAAATGTGAATTCGATTCCGTTACAAAGGCCAATTCAATTTTTCAGTTGTACGTCATCATGTTATGTGAAAAAAATTTTGAATGCATTTCATTTCCTTGTCGATGGCGATGGAAAATTGATTTCATACTAACTTCATTCTAACCTCGAAAACATGCATATCTCGTCCGTCCGTGGCTAAAAGTTTTATGTTTTTCGTGCAACTTGCCACGCCCGCTAGCATGTGCTGCCCACCGCCGTCATCGATATTATTGTGCTAAGGTTTATAATAATGTCGCCATAGTGACCACCAGGACAGTCCCAAATTATTCCTTGGGGAGAATAAAGAAGTTTTGGTTTGCAATTAATGCCAGCGGAGCACCCCAGGCACACACACAGACACATCAACATATGTACATACATACATACACTTGCACAAAGGCGAAGCATACACACTGACATTTTCATTGGGGGCTCCGCTAAAGCAGAGCATGTGATGAAAATCATAGCCAAAGTGAAGCGCATGATAAAGCAGCCGGCAAAGAAGTTAACAAATAACGGCGACCCACAGTCAAACCAACAACAGCTGCCAGTCTTTCGCTCTTGTTGTTGTAGTTGTCGTCAAAGCAAAAACACCCGCCACCGCCGCACACTCCATTGTAGCAGCCGCCGTCAATGCTGCTGTCTCTGCTGCTGCCAGAAGGCCCGCGCAGAAAATCGGATGAAAACGTAGGAAAGAATGAAAAAGGCAACAAAGCGGGAGAGACGATGATGATGAACGAAGCAAGCAAGCATTCAAAAAAGAAGAAGAGGAAGAGCATGGCAAGTGGCTTGACGACGACGTGAACGGGTCGTACGCTGGCGGGGCAGGGGAAGCGGTCGTCGTCCCCACCATCATCGTCGTTGGTCCGTCCGTCTGTCTGTCTAACCGTCCGCACGTCGTTAGGTTGCGAATTCGGTACGGTGGCGACAATGCTGAGGTGGATGTGGCTATGGTTTTAGGAAAGGTGGCGGGAGTGCGGCAAGGGGCTTACCACGCGGGCACTACGCTGCGTCGCAAACTGAGAAAACGCTCGCGCAAGCGAGAATAAGCAAAAATATCTTTTCGGATTCTGTCTGAATCGCATTTTTTGGGCGAAGGGGCGGTGGGAGGCTACAAGTTTGTGCAGCGGGTTGACAAGTGCAAAAACTTAACTTTTTAACTAACCCACAAGAAACCAATAATAAATTAAATACATATCTGCAGAATTATCAATAGTATGATGTCTGTACTTTGTGTGTATACTTTGGCTAATGTACAATTGTTGCACATTTTGTGCGCCATCTGCTCGCTCCTCCTTACAGAAGAAGCTGAAAAGCCTGCGGACTTAAGCCAACCCATCGTGTTCAAGCAACGCGTTAAACAGCCAACGGTTGAGGTTCAGGCCAATAAAAGCGAATCAAAGAACAAGAAAGCCGAACGACGCAAGAAATCCAAAGCGAGCAGCAGCAAATTGTCCTTTAACGAAGACGACGAGGAAGAAGCAGCCGATACGGATTAAACCCCAGAACACTTCCTAAGGACTTCTTTGAATCGTCGTCGTCGTTTTGCATTGTTTGCTGTTAATGCTGAGGTAAGAACAGGCTTCCAATTTATATTATGTATATTAATACGTAGTTGTTACACTAAAATTAATCTTTCTTCGGGGCAATGTTAAGTTATAAATATGTGTATTGTTACTAAACAAAAGTTAACAAACGGTAAAATTAAATTAAACAATCTAGATTTTAAAACAAAGTTCCTATAAATCGCATCTTTCAGATACAATTTTACCATCTGTCAGATAGATAGATCCTTCAGATGTTTATAAACTTCTTTTAAATAATAGGCAAGCATACTATATATTATAATTGACCTTCAATGTTTGATCCAATTTAATAATCCGTTTTATTAGTACAAATCTTCAAATAGTAATCAAATATCATCCTATTTCATTAGCAAATTTTAAAAAAGTCATCATTCAGTCATATTACTTTCACACTCATACAACTTTCATATCTATCAGATACTTTTAAATTATTACATAACTGGTATATAGTTACCTTGAAGTCGATAACTATATGCAAAGATCTTGTTTCAGTCTTACAACAAATGAGTTTTTGTATTTTTCTTGCAAATCGTTTTATTTTTTTTTACTTTAACTCTTAGTAAATTCTATATGACTATGTCGTTAATTGAAGAATAATTGTGTTTATTAAAAAACACATTTCGGTATACATCGCATCTAAGTTTCTTTACATTTCATCGTCATCATAAATAGTTATTTTTCAATTACTAATTAAATTGTTTTCTGATTAAAGAAATATGTTCATAAAAATGCAATTTATCTGCGCACACAACTATATTTTCAAATCTATAAAATCATCAACATATTTTATTTACTCACAACATATTTGGCTATTTGAAACTACGTTTCAAGGACTGTTTTAATCGAACTACAAAGCTACACAAAGTTTTGTAAAAGTTCATTAATTTACTTTAATTTCTTCCTTTTCTGCAAAACATGTAATTTTTGTCCATTTTATTGTTTTTTGATTCGATTTACATACTTCTCACTTTGTGTGGTAGCTTATTTTTGAGCTCAGCATTTCTTTTTGTAATCAGTCTATAGAAATGAAAATGAAAAAGTTAAATTGCTGGCTTAAATGAAACAATCAACGAATAAATTAAAACTATTAAAACAATTGCGAAGTAGTAGTATATTTTACAAAAGCTAACTAAGCTATTTGTTGAAAGGCTAAAGCAAAAGCAACAAACCGTCTTTCAAGGACTGGGAAAATCGATTTATCAACTCGCTCCTAATTAGTGTAAAGATGTGGTCAGAAGTAAATATTCGTTTAACGAAATAGATGGAGTTTTCAACTGACTGAACTGTACCTTATTGTCTTTCAAAATATAAGTAGTACATACTTAGATTTTGTGAACTTAGTTTAATTTTCTATCATCCCTCTACACATCAGTTAATTGTATGCTCAAGCTTGCAACTTCTTAATGATTTAAATCATAAACAAATAATAAAAGGCCGAGAAAAAATGTTTTTGTCCTAAGTGTTGATTTTGAAACATATCGATTTTTAGTTGGAGTGCCGATTTGAATATTATTTTTGTATAGTTGGCTATGAGGACTGATCAGAGTGGTCAACCATTTCTTTTCGGACGTCTAACTAGCTCAAAAACTGTCAGATCTTGCATAGAGATGTCTATCAGTACTATTTTATGTTCTTCCTGATCGCTATTGTATTTCAATTATAAATTTAAAAATGTTCATATTCATGTAGAAAGGGAAAACGTTTCATTTCAGACCCATAATGTGACATTTGAAAATAAGTTTAAAACATTTTAAAATTTCGTTAATTTCGTGTTTAGGCGTGTCCTTTCGATCCTATTTACTTACGTTTTAAATGAAAGTAACTGATACAGTTTTTAATTTGGTATTACAAAATTTAATCCAAATACATATGTATGTATGTATATACGAGTATCTATATACATACATATATGGTATTTCAAAACAGGTAGCTAATATCTAAATTTTTTCAGTTCATTGCTTACAAGTTCGAGCATTGAATATACATACATACATATGTATGTATGTATGTAAAAGGTGTAGCCTTAATTTGACCGATGGCATGGCAAAAAGGTCACGTGTATGTATAACATAAAATGTTATCGTGCATTATAGTTTGAGTATTAATGAACCCGTAGGTGAATGCTACCAGTTGCCGATCACGGGGGTGAGAAGCGGGTTACTTTCAAATTTGTACTTGCATAAAGACCAAATCACACACACATTCAAACATACATTCAAACATACATTAATACATACAGCCATGCTCGCATGCATACAAACACAAATACGTATACATACATATAGATGTATGTCTATATGTATATATGTACATATATATACATATAGCTATACTGTACTAACTATGCAGGAGTGATAGAGAGGTAACGTAATCTGAAATAAGTTGGAAAAGAAGAAGAATCAGCGCCAACAAAAGTATCGTGATGAGTATACAGTTTTAAAACTTACAGACGGGGCAGTAGCTTGTATATGTGTGTGTGTATTTGAGTGTGTGTGTGTGTGTCGAACGGGGGGAGCGTTTTATTGGCATAAGTTGGAGATGTTGTTGTAATGAAGAACGTGGCATCTAAATGCCCTAATTATGTGAACTTATATGGCTGTATTACCAATAGTTTTTTTTTTGCACTTGCAATTTCAAACATGCCACACACTTGGCGCGCAACGCTCAGATGCAATTTCGTTAAAATATCTAAGAAATACGCAGCCGGCAGTAGTAGCGCAATACAGAACCCCGAGTGACATGGCAGCGCGCAGCAATGCCGTTTCAGTTTTGTTTTGTTCATTTCGTTCGTGGCGCGCGTACAATTGTCAAATTTGTTTTCCCCTGCCCATCCATCCATCCATTCACATGGGTGCGCACAACTACAATGACAGAGCGGAACCAACGGCGTGTGCTTCACATTTACATTCGCTATGTTTGAGCAGAATTGTTGTTAAATGCCGCTCTCTTTCATAGCCTGCTCTCTCTCGGCGCAGCGCACAGATGTGTCGCTACTGGGACTGCGATTAGCGCCAAAAAATATATGTTTAAAATTACATTAATGTTTGTTTTGAATACAGTTTTTAATGCAATTCTCATATCGGCGTGCAGCATTGTTTCGATAACACCGATAAAGTGCCGCGCCGTAGGCAACACTGTGCGCTTAATGTTAGTCACATGCAACTCTGTGTTTGTGGCGCCAGTGGCGATGATTTTTCCGCTTACCACACATTCGTTTCCAGTTTGCCTTGTTGTTGCTGCCGCAGCCGTTCTTTCTAAGAGCAGCGTCTCTTTTTTTTTACCCCATTCGTGTGTCGACAATTTTGGTGTTTTCATGCTGCTGCCGCACGCGTGTTTTCCAAAATCTTTTGTTTTTGTATTACAAACTAATGTGAATAGAAGAAGAATGCAAACAACAACCTGCCGTTAAATAAAGTGTGTACATTTGAATGTGACGTAAAATGTAAATGTAAGTTGCGTGGGTGCTTGTGCTCCTGTTCTATTTACATAAATAACGACAAGAAAAATATGCAAATAGAATCTGCAAATCTGTAGATTGGGATGATTGTTCGCCTAAATATCACTTTGTTGTTGCGGTGGTGCACAGCGTAGTTTTAGTTCGCACAAAGCTATATACATACCTATATATATGTATATATAAATATATGTATATACATACATATAAACATATAGAAACACCACTACATGCGCTCATACAAACATACACACGGACGCACACAACCACAAAACACGCTCCTGTACCTATACTCCACTATGCCCCGCTTGTATCATGCTATGCCGCTCAATTCGTGCGCTTGTTGGGCTACCAACACACCAGCCAACCAACCAACACCACAGAGCCAACGTCGTCGTAGTCGTTGCCGTCGTCGTCATCGCCTCACCGGCGGCGACCGCCCGCCCTCTAGTCCGTCTGCATGTCCGTTTGTAGCTATGTATGTATATGCATGCATATATATATATGTACATACATATATCAGCGTGTATATATAGAATGTACATATGTATGTATGGGTGTTTGTGCGCCTGTGCTCGTTTGTTGGTACAATATATATTCATATATACATATGTATGTGTGTGTGATTGTTTGTTTGTATGTCAATCGTGCATTTGATGTGCTCGGTTACTGTTCGTATATGTATGTATATTATATATACATATGTACGTATGTACAAAGGTACATTTATATATATACAAATATATAATTACATATTTACATGTATATATACATATATATGTATGTATGTATGTTTGTTTTTTGCTAAAATTTTAACGCAAAAACTCCCATTACATATTTACATAAACACGTTTTTATATAATTACACTCCAAATACATATTTATTTACACGGTATATAAAGCAGCGCATATATGTACATATGTATCCCATACATACATATATAATTGTATTTTAGTTTTAATCCAATATGGCAGCCATTTTGTATCAATCCAGTCTTTTTCCAACCGTCTGTCGAACCGCCCAGTCCCCGTTCTGTCCCGTCCCCGCCCTCGTTAACTGAATTGGTTTTAATTCACCTAGATTTCAATTTTTCGGTGATTGTTACTTAGTTTTTGTGATTTGTTCTTTTCTTTTTTGCAATTTTAGCTCTTTTTCCTCTACTCTTTGTTCAGTTGTTTCGCACATTATGTGCTACTGGCTACTTTAGTTTTCTTTTACGTGCCAATTTTTCCGGTTCAACTATGTAAGAGAGCTATTAAGTTATATTCGATTCAGATGTGTTTTGTTATTCAATTTGATGTTGTCAGTCAATATACATCATACATACATATATAGATCTAACTATATCTGAAGGGAGACATTTTGTACAAAAATCGTAATATTTATACAAAAGGAAAAAACAAACATTTTTTTGTGTATAAAAAAATTGTTCAAAAACTTTAAAATCTAAAATCTGTAAATATTTGCAATATCTTTGTATAAACTTTAAAAAAAAATGCTGTAGATATATGCATATCTTGGTTTATTTGAGTCATAACGCCTACCCTTTATAAACTTTCAGAAACAACACCAACCTGCCGGCTCAAAAATCACCCGCACGTCGATCACGCAGAAGCGTCAGAGTCACAATAAAACGACTAAGGCACATTCCAACAACAACAGAACAAACGTCAAATGACTGAAGTCGATGTCGTCTTGCCAGAGGGCGTTGCCGAGCCCACAAATAAACTTGCGTCAAGCTCACCGTCAAAAGAGGGGTCGGCGTCATCGATAGAGGCAGTAGCAGCAACAGAATCTGAATCCGAACAAACTTCAGGGGAATTGGTCAATAAACAGCAGGAAAGCGATAATGATGAGCAACTGACGTTGGAATCTAATAGCAACGACGATAGCAACAAAGGTGTCAAAGATGTGGTCAGCGATGATGCTTCCACTCCAGTCTCACCACCGCAGCCAGCAAACGAGGAGATCGTAGTTGCCATGGAAGTAGATGACAATGATATAGAGGAGGGTGATGTCGATGGCGAGGATTCACAGATCACAAGCTCCACAGAGAATGGCACTGGCAAAGAGCAAAAACTCAATGAAGTTGACGGGGATGAAGACGAGGAAGTGACCACCAATGGTGATCACGATGAAGATGATGATGTTGACAAAAGTGCATCTACAGCAGAGAATACTTGCGATAGTGAAGATCCGCTTGCAGCAGCTCAGGCCGATGAAGTAGTTACGGAGGACGAAGAGACGTCGATTGCTCCAAAAAAGTCCGATGAACTACTCGACGAGGAGGAGAGTCAGGAAAGTGGCACAGCAAAAACTTTAAGCGATTCTTCAGGGCCAACGGGAACTGACGAAAAAGGTGAGCAGGTGGACCGGAAAACAAATGCCATTAATGGCTATGTAGGTAGCCCGAAGGCAGACAGTGCTGACTCTCAAAAGTTGGAATGTCCAGCCACTGGAAATACGGAAAAGGAAAATGGACAGGCCAGTGCAGCTGAGGCAAAGGCAGCAGCCACAACGAGAGGCGATGCAGGCGTTGTCAATCTCGACGACGAAAGTGATGAAGATGTCGAAATGAATGAAGCAAAACCGAAGGTGACGGAACAGCCGCCAATCATTAAGGATTTTGTGCAGCCAACAAAAACACAAGTGGTTGCCTTAAGTGGCACAGAATCCTCAGATGATGCAGTTCTGATAGCCTCTGACTCGGAATCGGAAATGATTATCGACACTGCATTGCCGACTAAAAAAGCACGAGTACCGGGAATGGCAGTCACATCCGCACCCACGCCAAAGCCTGCGGCTCCAATTGTGGAAGATGAAGATGACGACGATGATTGCGTGGTCATCGAGGATGACACACCGCCAAGTAATTCACCCAACGAGGTGAACAAGCGCAAAAGCGCCGCCATCGATCTCGACGAACTGCAGCAGCAGCCGAACAAGCGGCAACGGAGCTCTACGCCTTCGGGCCTGGGCCAGCTTACAATAAAGGATGCGCGCTCACTAATGCCACACGAAGCTCCGACGGTATCGTCCTCCACTTTACCACGCGATACCGTCTATCCAGTGACCATAACCAATGCAGTCACTGGAGTTGCAACCAATTTGGGCCCCATTGGACCGCCCAAATTGATGCCCATGTCTGCCGCTAATACAAATGTAAACGCGCCAATGCTCAATCCGCCAACGTTATCGTTCAGCGGCCTGCCAAGCATGACCAACAATGCCACCCTGCTGCCAGGATTAACAGATGACATGTATGTGCTGGAGGCGCCTTCCTTTATAGTGCCCTATATCTACGAGAAACCGCCCAATGACAACATACGGAACGTTATCAAGGACATTGAAACCAAGTATGCCCTTTCGCCCGAAGATCTGGCTGAGGCGGATAAGTCGGATGAATTTGATATGATCACGGAGCAGAATAAAGAGGTTAAGCCAGCGGACCAGCAGGAGGGGGGAGGCAAGAAGAAAAAGAAGCGCGGCGATGACGAATCCTGGTCCGAACAATCGGACGATGATGATGATGAGGACGATGACGATGACTCAGAGTCCGGTATGCGCACCAAAGTGCTCATCAAGGAGGCAAGCGATGATTTGACCGCACTGAAGGGGGCCATCAAGCCGGCCGCCGCTGTGGCTCAGTCGGGCGGCGGCGCTGCCGCTACACCGGCCAAACCAGGCCAGGAAAACTACTTTGAAAGCCCGCTGGGTAAATTCTTTATGGACATTGGTGTCGGCCTCGTCCAGGAGTATGTGCAGTCCGATTTGTTGCGATTACAAAAGCGAAAGATGCGAAAATCTCTTTCGCGCGATCCCAAGGACTTCGAGATGGCCATCAATGCGCTGTCGGGCAATTTGCAGGCCTCCAAAACGAAAAACGCACCCTACAAGTTCACCATGAAACGCTGTGAATTCTGCAACTTCAAGTCCGAATCAGCTCTTTCGATGGCCAATCACTATGAGACGCCGCACATGAATGGCGTACTATACAAATGCAATTTCTGCACCTTCGAGATTCGCAACGCCACCGAAATTGTCTATCACATGGAGGCGGTGCACAATATTAAGGCGCGACTTATAAAACCACTCCCCTACCATCAGTGTCCAAACTGTGGCTTCGAGGACAATGGCAAGGCCAAGCTGGCGCGCCATCAACCGGTGTGTGCCAAGAAATTCCGACCTGAGCTAAATCTGGCACCACCAAACGATTGGGAAGCACCTGCCAAAATACCGCGTATTAAGCCCAGACATGGTCTAGTGGGCACAGCGACGGCTTATCAGGTGAGTCCTTCAAAAATATCTTAAAGCAATAGTTTTTGACTCAAATTGTAACAACACTTTGTATGTTGATAATTATGAAGTCTGTCTTTAATCTAAAACGGGCTTGGACATTAATTTCACTTAGGCTCACTTAGTACAATTGATCCATTCTAATGCAACTTCCTCATAATTTCTTATCATTACAGGCCATGGCAGCCCAGGCAGCGGCACAGAAGGCCGCTTTGGCCACCATACAGCAACAGCAGCAGGCAGCAGCAGCAGCAGCTCGCAACATGCAGGCGGCAGCTTTGGCAGCTCAGAATGCGGCCAAGATGCGACAACGCTCGCCACAGTTGCCCAAAGCGTTGCCACAGGGCAACAATATGGTACGCAATCCGGCACCCGTTCGTGGTGCCGTATCCACTGCCGCCAATATAGCGTTACAGAACAGTTACCAACTAGCTGCCGGGCAACTTGTACAGGTTCGTTATTACTAAAATATCTGAATAGGCCGATTACTTAATTTGAATTTCACAACGACAGCAAGCTGCAAAGAAACCCGTGGCTGGCCAGCCAAGCATCTCAATAACGCCACTACCTCGTCAAAGTGCGGCTACCAGCGGCGCGGCCGCCTCATCCAGCAAAATGCCACAGGCACCAGCCGGCATGAAGCCCGGCCAGAGTCCCAGCGGTAACAACAAGACACAGTTTGTCATTTGCGAGATATGCGATGGTTATATCAAGGATCTGGAACAGCTGCGCAATCACATGCAATGGATGCATAAAGTAAAGGTATGGATCGAAATAAGAAAGTCCATCTATTATCTCATGAAAAGATAATAATTATCTTCATGCGATTCCGTTATTAATACATCTTTTTGATCATCGAATAGATACACCCCAAAATGATCTACAATCGTCCGCCGTTAAATTGCCAAAAGTGTCAATTCCGGTTCTTTACGGATCAGGGCCTGGAACGGCATTTGCTTGGCTCACATGGCTTGGTCACAAGCTCTATGCAGGAGGCCGCCAACAAGGGTAAAGATGCCGGACGCTGTCCTGTGTGTGGCAGGGTAAGTTTGAGTTTCAATCATTTCTATTGCGTTTAATACTCAATCGAATACTTCACCTACAGATGTATCAATGGAAGCTGTTGAATCATGTATCTCGAGATCATCACATGACACTCAAGCCTGCACATTTATCCTACAAATGCACGGTATGCACGGCGACATTCGGCATGTACAAACAGTTTGAGACGCATGTCTATACTGCGCACAGCACCGTGGCTAAGAAGGCCATGGACAGCAAAAAGAATAGCGCACAGTCAGCCGGTGCGGGCATGTCCAGCAGTGGCATGTCGCGCAATTCGTTGGGCGCAGCAAACGACTCGCTTCTAAAGCCCTTGAAGATCAACGATGAGATCACCATCATACCACAGCCCGCATCGAAGGCACGCATCACAAATATGGAGAGTCATGTAATAGGTAAGTACCTAAATTGAATGATCGTTAAAAAGTTCCTTAATTCTAATTAAATGTACTTTCATTGCGATTGCAGATTGAACAACGCATTGGGTCAACCAAATACAAAAGAAAACCAATCTCGCATAGTTACGGCATTAGCCGAGCGTTAGGAGTAGTTTTTAATCTGAGCTGCGCTTAGCTGCTTGGGTGGGACTCACAAGTTTAGACCGCATAGTTTTTGTAAGAAGGAAGGAGTGTATAAAACGTAAACAATTTATTTTAAACACAACTAGAACTTTACACGCTATATTTGGTTAGCCAAGGAGGAGCCGCTTACACAGGATAGAAGATACTAGTTACGCAAATAGTTACATACGTTTAAGCTGAAGTCGAGTGGCGTTAGAATGGACACAAGTTGAAGTTGTAGCTACTATTAAACATATACATAAAGCCGTAAGAGCGCATCGTCTGAAATGACTATGTAAATTAGTTAAAAACTAAAAAGCTATTTATACGAATATCATCTAAATGTGTGTTGAGTATGTATATACATTAAAAAACCGCCACCTTCACACATCCCCCACGTATAACTCTTCTCCACACACAAAAAACGAGAAGAAACATTTATATTAAGAGAGCTCAGTTTTGATTTAATTTAGAAGCAGAACAGGATTTACGTAAACAGAATAGAAAGTGTTTTGTCGTGTGGCTTAAAGGGAAGGAGAAGGAAGGGTCTAGCGGTTCAGGCGTTCAACATTTTAATTTTTGTGTAAACGTTTAAACATTATATTTATCTTACTTATATCTATTAATATTACAAATATATCATCTATTACTTTTAAGAACATGTACTACAGTTAAAATGCAAAACAAACAATACAAAACAGCAAAAACAAACTGAAAATGCGAAAAATTAAAAACCTAGTTAATATAAACCCTCAAACAATTTGTTGTGAATTTTAATTTTCAAATCTCATGTTTGTGAATGGAGCAATAATTTGAATTTAGACAGCGGGGGTGATCAGTGTCTGTATAGGAGGAAAGGGAATTAGGTTTTCAATATACTGGGTGTGTTTTGAATCTATGAGACGAAATCCTCCAGAGGAGGAACAGAACATTGTTAAGAAGTGCTAAGCCATGGCAGATGCAATCTATTATTCAGCCTTCAAACTCATTTAGTAGTGCGTATCAAGTCCTTCTTCTCCGCCTTAGTATATTTATGAAATTTCGAATTTGAAATTTTCTTTTTAGGTTTTTTTTCAAACGCACCATTGTAAACCAGGCGGATATAATTCTGCAGAAGGCGGCTTAAATTTGTGGCCAATAAAGTTTAAAAAGTGTAGCATACTTTACAGCGGCAAAATTTAATTTTTCAAAGCAAGACGGACATCGCTTTATCGACTCGTTTTGCTATCCTAATTAAGAATATATTCACTTTGGAGGAACCGTCATGCCTCTTTCTGTGTGATACATACATTTGCACTAAGCTAATATACCCTTTTGCTTTTCTATGACATGTAATGCTCTCATCATTAGTGATGAGGATACTGTTTTTATTGCTTTAACATTTCGGAAACGGTTCTAAAAATATGAATACTAATGGTAAGTGCTAAATAATAATGGGTTCTATTTTTGGTTACTGCGACTTGAAAAATTACAAAATACTCGTACACAGCAGTGCGAAGTTCCCGCCGAGTCATTGATTTGGCAAAATGGAAGACGCTAAAAGCTTTATGGCTCGTCACATGAGAAGTATGAGTAGCTGCCAATTCCCCGCTCCCCGCATTAGGAAAGCAAACCAATAACAACTGTTTACATAGCTCTAATGCGAAATTTAATTTGTTTTTTTACAAAAATGAAATTCAAATCTTTTGATGACGATGGCAACTGGTTGACTTCTGTGTCCTGCAATTTCCAGTCTTATCTAACACTCTGACTTCCTACATTGTATATTATTTGCTACTAACATTTATAGTATTTAAAGCACAATGCACTGCATTTGCATATTCAGATCTACTTATACATATGTATTTCTCTCTTAACTTTTTGAGTTGTTATTCTCGTCATCAACCTCATTTGCTTTCTCAGTCCCGCCGACACCAATAGTTGACGTCGGTGGGAAGAGCTGGGCCGCATGTGTTAATTTGGCCAATGTTGCTTCGTCCAAGACTTGAGGCTTTTCGGCATTGGTCGCATTCGACTTGGATAACTGATAATAGGCCGTGTCGCTGTGCGTGATGTTGACAATGCTGCCCGTCAGTGGCAGAGTCTCCAGGAGTTCCTGCGGGCTGCTGAAGGCACCGATATTAACTGGCGCTATACCTGTAAGTACCTGCCCACTAACGTTGGTCTGGATGGGCAGTGGAATGTTGCCCAAGTCGATGTGACTCTTGTTGGTGTGCGCATCAAAGAAAGTTAAGTCCACACGCTCCTGATTCTCGAAACTGGTATCGTTATCATCCGCTTCAGTAAGAATGCCGATTTCATAAACGACAGCCTTGACCACATAGCTGTAATGAGAGGGAGGGAGAGAGTCAGTTTATTCCAAGGCTACGATCAAATTTGCATTTTCAATATTTTGAGATTTGTTTTGCTCATGTTTTTGAGAACAGAGCAATTCCTTATGAACAAACAATTTCTACTTACAGATTCTTAGGCGTATCATTGAGCGTCGAGTTTAGCTCTTCCAGAGTGAAAGCAGATTTCTCTTCTCCCTCTTTATCATCTGGCATTGGTAGCGAGCAGGTGACGGCCAACAGCATGCCCAGAACGGCCGATAAAAGTACAGCGGTGCGCGTCTCCATGTTGTCGGACTTGCAGCGATAGGATGTTAGACTAAAGCAAGAAATGCGACCAGACAACTGCGATTGTGTCGAAGTAGATTTGGACGACGACTCCTGCTGCTGCTTCTACGCGTTTTGCGAAGGAATTAGTGGCCCTCTGGGTGCACCTCTTGTGTTCGCCGGGCTCTGACTGATGTGCGTTTAAGTTTAATTAGTACAGGTGAAGTGCTTTTATAGCGGTTGCGGGCTTTTATAGCCTACCCTCCCTTCGCTCTGTGTGGGGTGCGATATTTGGGATCGTTGGCGTTCGACTCGCGATTCCGCGTAATTATCGGTAGCTGTTAATTGACTGACAGGTTTTCTCGCTCTAGCGCAGTTTCTAGCGCAGCCTTACGATCCAATAACTGACTTGACCACTACTTGTTTGCTGCTGGTGTCGGTGTAGGTGCTTTTTGCTTCCTAATGCTGCTGCTGGTGGTGGTGGTGGGGGAGAGGCGTGCGGTTCGCATTGACGACGTAGGTTTTTGTTTTTAGTGCCTATCCAAAAGGCTCTAATTAATTGCATTTGCTTTGGAGCGTGTCCACACACATCAAAGCCAGAGTCAGCGTCAACAACGGGCGGCCGTTACTTACGCAAGTGCCAGGTTGGTGTAAAGTCCCCGTTAGCTAGTTATTGTTTATTTTCATATTGCCGGCAAAAAATGTTCTAAAACAAGTACAAAAGTTAGCAGGCTTTCGAAGCCTATATACCCTTGTAAATAAAATATGTAAATACACATACTTGTAGTATAAATACCATTTATCGTCTATTTAACAAACAATACAAGGATTCTTAAAAACCACGTTCTTGAAACAAGAGTTCGATCCCAGTTGATATTTGCAACATGAATATTTAGAATATTCCGAATACCCGTTATTTTCAAATAAAAACCCACGTGGCAGCTATATTTATTGATTGATTTCAAATTCAAGCCTTTTTTATAACATCGTAAAACTACTTAATTATAATATTGGCAGAGATATTTTTAAAAACAAAGAAGCTATTACAAAGCAGCTGGTCCGTTCTGGATGATTTTGACATATTCTCTGTTTGCGAAAATCGGAAATTTATATGCCATATTACAGCGCTACAGATCCAAGATTGAGAGACTTGTTTGCATAAAAACATAGATAAGGATAAGGCTACCCCTACTATTTGTCTTATCGTGCTTATTTTTTATGTACATACTTGTACAACATGAGATTTGCCACGTCCCATCTGGCCGGTGCACAAACATAGGACCAGAAGTAATATACCCTTTGTTAGAGTATATATGTATTTCTACACACGCGCAATTTCTGTATGCAGACATTCCTTAAACGCCCAGCGCACCCCAATATTTGGAAGATCTGGCTCTAGCTGTGGCTCTTAACTTGTTTAATTACTTATTAATTAATGTTTTTGTTTTTTCTTTCTATATGTTTATGCTTTTTGTAACTCATTCAAACCCCTTGCAGCTGCTTGGAACCAGATTTGGGTTCTTCAAACCGACCCTATCCTGACTCACATTAGTGGGCAGAGCAGTTGGATTGGGTTGGGACTGGGTTAATTCAATTACCATCCTGTTTTTCATTCATAATACAGCGCACAACTGGGCAGTTGGTTGCGGCTCAAACAGACGCCTTGCAGTTATAACATACTGCCTTCATACATACCTGCATATGTATAGTACATATGTGGCTCAAGGTCTCCCGACGGATTAAATTAACTTTTATCAGCATTTCTTGATCATTAGCAATTTACACAATTTTTGAGTATTTCTTGTACGAGTACTCGTGTGAAAATGTGGATTTCGTCAAACAATGGAATTGTTCAATATGGATTTAAATATACATGTTACGAGTATGTATATTTTCATGGCTAACATATTTATTATGCGGTGTTAACGAGATCGTCGTTTTTAATTGACGAAAGTACAGTCTGATGTTTTAAAAAAATAAAAGCCACAAATTAGATTTGTTGTTATTGAAAAAGATCGCAGACGGGGGACAACAAAGTTTCCTATTAACATTTCAATCAATTTATTTACCACATTTATATGATATTTAATTAGCTTTGACGCTTGTTTTTTTAAATGTCTAATCAATTGGATAAACGTGGCCATCTGATCGTGTGGCGAATCTCAAAGATGACGAATAGCTTTTCATAACTTTGTGTAAATTTGATAGAATTGTGACGCAGTAGATGGATGACGCATTAAATGTTGGCGGAAAAGTTTATCAAGACTAATGCGCATTTGAAATTTCGTATTTTCTAGGACACTGCTGGGAACCCCAAATAGTTTATATTACGATTATATTCATTTTGCAAATGAATCCGTTTTGGTTTAATGCTGATTCGTCTCAGACTCAGTTTGCTTTTAAGAAAGCGTGCAAAATCTTTATCTAAACCACCATAGTCACGAGTTTCTTTCATTCCCATGACCACGAAAATCACGCAAATGGTAATAAACAGTATATTTAGTTGGTTTTCGTCGAACTCTACCTTATGATAAAGAGCTAAATCGTTGCACATGTCGAATTAACAGTAATTAATTGCTGGTTTCGACACACAGCCAATAAACGTGGCTGACAGCGATCACTTCGTTTTTAAGACCCAACCTTAAAGGGAAATCATTTGAAAATACTTTTTGAAATCATTTTAATTGCTGTTAGTTTTTAGAGAAATTGAATTGCTCACATGCCGCAAATAATCCTATCCTTTAGAGTTACAAGCATTTAAATTTTTTTCCCGTAAATCATTATATTTGGAAAAATATGAACAGTTATTTAAAACCAGTGGGGCATAGTTTGAGCCTTGTTTCCGACTACGCCGAAATAGAAGAGAAGAATAATTCCAGAATTGAAGACCATAAGAAATAAATGAAACAAATTAATATATCTATGACGGATAGATACATATTTTGGATTAAGTATTCAATATGTTCAATATGTATGATTCCACTATTTAAAAAAACTTCCATTGACGTAGGTATTCATAGTTTTCATTTCATAAACTAGATTCCGTTTACGGGGCACAGTCGAATATTGAGAAAGGGAGAAATTAAATTAGATCCCAAAAATCTACATAAACAAAATAAATAAGATACGAATTGTAAAGAAGCAGAGCTGAACATAAACATGTTTGCTTCTTAAAATTTATTATAATTATTACAATATAAGAAACACCTATGATAAGTATAGAAATTAATCAAAATGTAGGGGTTTGGGATAGATATGGGTTTGTCAGGAACCGTCACAAAATGGGATGAGCGCATTAGGACATCAACGTTTAGAATTAATGACAAAATCGTATGCCATCGACATATCGTGCGTCAATAATTAAAGTTCCATTTAAATATTAAAATGTGTAAATTAGTCGCGCTTTCTATTTATAGAAGGAAATATTTCCAATATAAGACAAATGTAAATCTTAATTGAATCGTGCATGGACCTAAGTCATTAGAATAGTGAGTGGAATTTGTGCTATAAGTGCTATAAGTTTAGAGATAGTGTCTGTACATTGGAGAAATTAACAAACATTTAAAGCAGCTTCCTTTCCTTCCTTTCTTGTTGCCAATTAAATTTGATAGTCTTTGTTGGTTAACCCATTCATTTTGCAAGTTGCATTTGTACCATTTGAATTTGTTTGTAAAAAAGTAAAAGTAACAAAAATATATTTGTCTATTTATCTCTCCCGAAATGAAAAAAATGTGCAATATCGTCGAGTACACCGTGCTGCTATATGGCTATCGTCATTGTGGTGGTCGGCGCCGTTTTAGCAAAACAAGTCAAGTCAAGCGAAGCTCAGTCGCATGCCCGAGTGCTAACTGAAAAAAGCTGAGCACACACTCTCACATGCACGGTTGATGAATCGGATGGCGCAGGCGCGTGAAAACTTTAAAAAGTCGCACCTTGCTCGTCTGTGAGTTTATTAGTGAGCTGGACTTTGTGGCGAGAACAACGTTAAGCAGAGCAATAGAGGCAATTCCACATCCATCTGTAAGGCTGGGCTTAAAGCAGAATCATGAAGTGCGCTTTGGTATTCACTGTAAGTATACCCCAGACATGCTCATACATATATCTTCAATTCGGACATAAGTAATTCATTTTATTTTTTAATCCTTTTTTACAGCTGTTTGCAGCACTCATGGCGTTCGCTTGCGCAGCGCCCTTTAACCTGAACGACATATTTCCGGGCTTTTTGGGCAATGCCAAGCTGGCCCAGCCTGTGCAGCAACCGGAGCCCGTTAAGCGTCAGGTACATGTTGAGGCGAATCCTGATGCTGAACTCAAACAGATATCCTTGAACAATCTCATCGGCAATCTGGAGAACAGTCTGTTCCAGTCGGCCCTAAGTGTTAATGGAGCGAGTGCACCAGACAGCGTTGTGGCCGAGATTAAACCCGCTGCTGAGACGGCCACTAGCGAGGAACATGCGATTAATAAGCGCTCGGAGGAGGAGACAGTCAAGGCCCTCAAGGCAAGCACTGACAGTACTGCAGTCGATGACAAGATTATTGTGCAGACTACCAAGAAGGTGCCCATTGGCGAGGATGGCAAGCCGGCACATCTGATCATCGATCGTGTCTCCGTGCAACCCCACAGTGGAGGCGTGGCTCTGATCCCCACTTTCCAGGTTCATCACACCAAACTGGTGTCCGCCACCATCAAGGAAGATCCCAATAGTGAGAGCAGCGATGGCAAACAGACTAAGATCAGCATAACAAAGACCTCCATCACATCTACGGCACCCGTAGAGGCGCCCGAGGTTTCAAGTTCCAGCTCTTCTAGCCAGGCTTCCACAACCACAACTCAAGAAACATCAACGACGACGAGGACGACGACAGTATCGCCGAGCAGCACCACAACGGTGGAAAGCGAGGAAAGCAGCACAACAACATCACCTAGCACCACAGCATCTTCCAGCTCTAGTTCCACTACCTCAGAGCAGCCGATTCTGAAGCTAGAGAAGGTGGAGGAAAAGCTTAAGGAGAAGGTCGCTGAGGTGGAGGCTGAGCCTATCATACTCTCGTCCCGTGTCTAGATCTAGTTTCAAGCATCGTCCGCTCATCATACCAATATCATTTTACTATATAGTCCATATTTATGTGTCACGCCCAGTCCAATGAATAATTTCGTATATAATAAAATCATGTGATTTTTTGATTTGATTTCAAGCTAAAACTGTTTTATATGTAAATTTTAAGTTCACACAAATGCAAATTAAAACTCGCACGGTGTGGGGAAGTTAGATTGCTACGTGTATATACTCGTACTTATATGAATACATAAATCTACATATACATAAGCATATACTCGTACATATGTATATAGAGTATTTGTATTGCTGAGATGCCAAAATCGAGGCTCTAATTGTTAAGGCAAATAAAGTGGCGTCGTCGAGTCGTCAGGGCAAGTAAATAAATTGAATTTGTCGATTCAACCAAGCATGAACATTTCACATGCTGAGGCTTTCATGGTTTCCATCATCCATCCTCCACCTTCCTCGCATCCACCATCCGCCGGATGGTCTAATGGCTGCAGTTAAAGTTCCCACTAAAAGCTTTCTAAAGGCATAAGTACCTAAGCATCTACTATACATATATGTTTATTATATTTAAGAGCTTAATTGCGCAAATTTGAAATTAACATGTTCATATCGATTGTTGCGAATTATTTGTCAACGGTGGGAATTTGTGTTTATGTGCCACCAACACCAACGCCAGCACCATGCTCCATCCTAATGGGGTCAGGCAAATATTCCGTATTTATTAAGAGAGATACATATGTAACTGTGGAATGAAGGAAGGAATTGGGTCACTTTCAAAAATTGCTAATTTGATTCCGAAAAAATGATGAAAGAAATCGTAGTTCAAAATCATTGGAGTTGTAAATATTGTTCAACTCAAGAGCAGACTTTATTATAATTTGTCTTAAAGTTTATTTGTAAAATTGGCAAAAAATATTTTAATTATCTTGAAAATGTTGCTTTTATTTCGGTCCTTAAAATTGGACTACCATATATGCATTTGTATAATTGCAGAGAAGGGCGCCGACAATGTTTTTATTTAATTTATCTGAATGTTCCGTATTTAATTTCAAAATAAATTTTTTACTTGTTAGACATCTACATACAATATACATATGTATGTATGTAAATAGTACGTGTATTGTCACAGTATGTGTTCAATTCTAACGAGATCCTAAGTAAATGTAAATTAATTGATAAGCTAGATTTGCTCTGTCTAGACCACGAATGGTACATTATCATATTGTTATAGATAAAACCTCGATAAACAGACATGCTCTCTTATACAGATAATAATGAGTTCGGCCTTAGATGCCGAACATAACACCAACATTTTCGTAGCTGGCAGGCGCCAGCTTAATAGATAAGGATGCGCCACCGCGCTGGATGAGCATGCTGCGGCTAGCTAACATGAGCTACCTGATAAAGTACGCACACATGGTAGAAGATAAGGAATCGATGATAGTATGTAGGCGATAGCATAAGAACTAGGATAAGAATTTATATATAAATAAAGCAGTCGAGCTATCGACGTTGTTCATTCATCCACAAAACTTTGTCGCGTATTATTATCCTCCCACCAATCCTGCTCCGCTCAATACATTGGTGACCCCTCGAAAAGTACACGCGAGTTAAATAGTGTTGTGTTGTGCTGTGTTAATATATTGTCCTTAAAAAATAAAAAGGACACAAGTGTAAGAAGTGCTGCGTTGTGTCCCTAAAAATAAAAATAGTGGACTAAAACATCCAGCTCTCAAAGAAAATTAAAAAGTGTTATGTTGTGTTGTGCTGCGTTGTGTCCCTAAAAATTAAAATAGTGGACTAAAACATCCAGCTCTCAAAGAAAATTAAAAAGTGTTGTGTTGTGTTGTGCGGTGTGTATTTATATTGTCCTTAAAAATCAAAAGAAGGACTTATAAGCCCAGCACCCGTGCGAATTTCAGCCAAAAAATTAAAAAGTGTTGTGTTGTGTTGTGCTGCCGTGTGTCCCTAAAAAGTAAATAGTGGACTTAAACACCCAGCACCCGTACCAACAGCAACCAAATATATATATAAAAATAATAATAAAATCATTTATACCAATATAAAATTATTAAATATTGTGCGGAAATTTAAAAGTACTGCACTAAAAATCAATATGGCAAACGAAGCCCAAATAATAAAAGAGCAAGAGGGCATTGGAAGAGTTTTGGAGGCCATTTACAATGCAGCGGCAAAGTGGGATGGATCGGGTCAGCAGCTGGACCAGTGGAACCGCAAGGTAGAAGAGCTGAGGATCCAGTTCGAGGCAAATAAAATCGGACTGCAAAATCCTTCAGCGACAATATTGAAATCACCATATTTTAAAGAAAAATTTGGAGAAAAGGTAAGTGAACTTTTTACAGTTACTTACTCATTATTGGGGCAAATGAATAAACAGATAAATAGGAATGCTGATTTGCTAGAATCGCAGTCATTAGTAGGCCCAGATAATACAAAAAGTACGGCTGTTAGAAAGATAGAACATGCATTAAAATGTTTTAAGATGTCCTTAAAAAGATATGATGGAAAAGATTTAAGTGAAATCAAAACAGCTAAAACCCGTGCAGATGATCTTTATTATCAATATTCAAATGAATGGGGTATAGGAGAGTTAGAAGAAAAGTTTGAGAGGTTAACAGACCAATATTACGAATTGGATATGAATCCGGAATTAAAAAAGCAAAATATGAACTTCGACTTGCCAAAAATTGAAATACCGTGTTTTTATGGAAGCTATACAGAGTGGAATACGTTCAAGGAACTTTTTATGCAGTTGATTGGCTCAGCAAACATTTCGAACACACAAAAAATGTGTGCCTTGAAAACCAAAGTAAAGGGCGATGCTGCAGCAACAATAGAAAATTTGCCGTCAACAGAGAACAATTTTGATTTAGCATGGTCCCTGTTAGATAGCAAGTTTACCAACCCTAGAGCAACATTGGCTATTTATTTGAACAACATAATTGAAGCTCCCTCGGTTAGTGAGTCCGTAAACAGCGTAAAGCAATTTTTATGCATAATTAACAAAAATATTCAGGCTATAAAAGCAATGAAGTTGTCTGAAGAACTCATCCTACAAAGCCTTTTTAACACATTACTAGTAAAAAAAATGAACGAAAATCTTAGAACTAGATATGAAAAATCCCTGGAAAACCCTAAAACTGTTCAAAAAATTGACCCCCTGTTAAAATTCTTAGAGCATGAATGTTCTGCATTAGAAGCTTGCCAAATGGATGGTAACAGCAATGCGCAGAAGAATAAAAATGAAAAGCCAAGTTTATATCACAAAATAGAAAAAAAGACTTGTGTTTTGGAATGCAATTATAGTCACCCCGTATATAAGTGTCAGAAATTTAAAAAACTAACAATAAGAGAAAGATGGCAAATAATAAAAAAGAACCAAATTTGTGGAAAATGCTTGCAGATGGGACATTCCTTTGCTACCTGTAATTGGGTTTGTCGCACATGCAGCGGTCCACATCATATGCTTTTACACATAGACAATTCAGTAGTGACTAGCTCAAAATGTTTCAAAAAGGAGAAAAAATGTGTTTTGCTATCAACAGCAGTCGTTGAAGTATTAGATGGAGAAGGCAAATGGCAAAACTGTAGAGTATTATTAGACAGTGGCTCAGAAGTAAATTTCATCACTACAGAGTTTAAGCGAAAATTAAAATTAAAGGCAGAAAAGGTACAGGAAACAATTGAAGGGTTTTCAGATAACTTTTCTCAAATAAACGAAGGTATGAGTGTTCAGATTAGATCGAAAACCACAGAATTCAACACCGAAATTGAGGTATTAATTAGTAAAAAAATTGTATCTAATATGCCAAAGAAAAGGTTTGAAATTGGAAATATTCAACATCACATAGAGTTAGCGGATCCACAGTTCAACATTCCACAAGGTATTGATATGCTTCTCGGTATAGATCTGGTGCATGAAACGGAAAAATCCGGAAAGATTCAATTGAACGAAGGAAGATTGCGTTTACGAGAAACGCTTTTTGGTTGGGCTGCTTACGGTAAAATAGAGTTAGAGAGTCCTTCAAAAGAAGGTCGAGTAGTGACCTATTCTGGAGTTGGAATTGAACATCAACTTAAAAGGTTTTGGGAAATTGAAGAAAAAATGACAGAAAACATTACATTATCAAAGGAGGAGGTAGAATGTGAACAGGAATTTGAACAAAATGTGTCAAGAGGAGCGGATGGACGATATATTGTTGCTCTGCCATTTAAAAATACACCGAAAAACTTAGGATATTCTGAATCTCAAGCAAAAAGACGTTTTTCGGCATTAGAAAGAAAATTCAATAAAGACCCAAGCCTAAAGGAACAATACACAAATTTCATAAAAGAATATATCGAATTAGGGCATATGAAGATAATTGCAAATGCGGAAAAGTTGGAATCAAAATATTATCTCCCTCATCACGCTATTTTACGGCCGGAAAGCACTACTACCAAGCTGAGAGTCGTGTTTGATGCATCATGCAAAACGTCTAATGGTATAGCATTAAACGACGTATTGCATGCAGGTCCAAGACTGCAGGAAGATTTGTTTAACATATTACTTCGATTCCGAAAACACACTTATGTCATTACAGCAGACATAGAAAAAATGTATAGACAAATTTGGATTAAGCCAGAGGATCAAAAGTATCAGCTTATATATTGGAGATGGGAACAGGGAATGCCTTTAAATACATACGCTTTGCAAACAGTAACGTATGGAACAAAAGCTGCGCCATATTTAGCAGTAAAATGTTTGAAAAAATCCGCAGAAAAAATAAAAAATAAATGGGCTAAGGCGGCTGAAGCAATTGAAAATGACTTCTACATGGACGATTTAATGACTGGGGCAAATACAATAAAAGAACTAAAAGAAGTACAAAAACAAATAACTGGCACTCTTAAAAAAGATGGATTTCATTTAAGGAAATGGTGTTCAAATAGCGTAGACCTTTTAAAATCAATGTCAGTAGCAGATAGAGGGATGAAAGTAGAATTTAATATAGAGCAAGCTAATCCCATTAAAGCATTAGGAGTTGCCTGGTTACCAGAAACGGATGACTTCTCGATTAAATGCAACTGGGAATGTGATAGTAAGGTAACCAAACGCAGCATTCT